AATGGCCCATGCTTACAACAAAAAGTACGTCCCAAGTAATTTGAAGTGGGGCAACTCGTCCTGAGACATATTCTCCCGCACCATGAAGAAGCTAAGGAAAAATTTGCTCCAAATTGCAAAGGTCCATACATTGTAACAAGAGTATTGCATAGGTCCATTGTATCTGGGAGACATCAAAGGAAATGTCCTCGAGACAACAGTCAATACAGATGCAGTCAAAAGTTACTATGTCTCATTACTTGGTTTAACATTCTTTGATTGGCATGACGGAGGCTTTCTTTCTCGCTACCCAAACACTTTTAATCCTTTTGCAAACCCTTTGAGTCGGTTCCCTCTCTTTGATTACCCTCTTTGGAATCTGGAAGTTATTATTGAAAAAATGGCAAAGAAAAGAAAGAAAAAAAACAGAAAAAAAAGGAAAGAAAAAAAGCAAAAGAAAACAAAAATGAAAAAAACAAAACAAAACAAAATCAAATATAGAGTTCCCTGAACTACGTTCGACTTGATTCCGAAAGGATACGTAGGCTGCCTTTCTCTGAGGTTCAGTCACACCAAATAAAAATCCACATTTCCCCAATATTCAAAGAAACTGGGACATGTTTTTATTTTATTTTTGACGGTTGTTCCATCAAATGGTTCCAAAAGTTGTAATTCAGTTGAGTAGTTCTTTTTACCTTTCCCTTTTAAGACCTTCTGATCAGATTTTGAGAATGCTAAGTCAGTATACTGCGGGTGACACTTCAACCATTGCAAAGAGAGAAAACAAATGAGAGAGTCTTGTCGGTGAAAACCCTCAAGGACACTATAAGGCGATGGCGAGTTGAGAAAAACAAATGAGAGAGTCTTATTAGTGAAAACCCTCACGGGCACTATAAGGCGATGATGAGTTGAGAAAAAGGCAAATGAGAGAGGTCAATTGGTGAAAACCCACAAAGGGCATCGTTGATCGATTTTAGGTCTTCTTATATCCCGGCACAAGCATGTTTAAAGAACTCAGTTTCAAAGTGAAGTTTACAACAGATTTTGAGAATTAGACGGTTTAGACGGATCGGGCATCCAGTCCAAAGTGCATGCCATGTTCATTGAAGTCAACATATTCCTCCAGATAAGTCCTTTCTTATTCTTCCCCTGAAAGGGACGTTTCTTGATTAAGTTGTAATGCTTATTAGTTCACCTACTTGTTTTCTTTCGTACTATTATTTTTTGAGTCCCTTTCAGTTTAATTTTGTCAAAGCAAAGCAAACAAAAGGCCACAAAATTGGTTACAGTTTCCCCGTTATATGAAGCAAAAATTTCTGGGCATAAACAGTATGGGCAAAGCCATAAAGCCGACTTTGATATTCCTTGTCAAGCAAAAGGCTTGAAGGACTTAGCAATGTTTCAAGGGTCAACAAAGGTTACTCATCAAAAGTTGTTTTGGGGAACAAGGTTGTTTGCACCATAGACACAAATGGTGATAGGCGCAAAATAGTCAGGTGTTGATGTTGAGAAAGAAGATCTTCAGAGAGTAAAGTCAGAATCTCCCGGCAATTTGTACGATCATCGACAGGGTCGGTTTTTCCTAACAAGTGTAATGGAGGCAAGGTCAAGTCGCCCAAGAAATCAAGGCCATAAACTGACCACCATTTTAAAACTAACGAATCTTTCTTTGTTTAGAACAGGAACAGAATAGTTTAGTGAAACAGTTCATGGAAAGACGAACACCACCAAGTGAAGTTCTCAAATCCATGATTTCCTTCCAATATGCACGTAAGCATGTTATTTTTAGTTTCATTATAGAGGATCAACACTCTATCTTCAATACAGGGTACTACATCCCCTGGTTGCCTTACTTCTTGTTGCAAACATAGGGTACGACATCCCCTAGTTGCATTTCAGAGTGCCACGAGCCTCATCTTATTTCCAACACAGGGTACTACATCCCCTGGTTGCATTATTTTCTACATAGGGTACGACATCCCCTAGTAGCATTTCAGAGTGCCACGAGCCTTATCTTATTTCCAACACAGGGTACTACATCCCCTGGTTGCACTTCTTGTTGCAAACATAGGGTACGACATCCCCTAGTTGCATTTTAGAGTGCCACGAGCCTCATCTTATTGCCGACACATGGTAGTACATCCCTTGGTCGCATTACTTTCTACCTACATAGGTACGACATCCCTTAGTAGAATCTCAGAGTGCCACAGGCCTCATTTTATCGTCAACACAGGGTACTGCACCCCCTGGTTGCCTCCTTCTTGTTAACACAGGGTACGACATCCGCTATTATTTAAAAAAAAAATTCTTTTTCAATTCTTTATTCTGCAATAGTAAAGATAGTTTAATGTGTTTTTAATAACTCACAAAAATTTTCTAGTGCAAACTGGGGCAGAAAATTTTTGTTTGTTTGTTTGTTTGTGATGGCTTGTAGGTTTTTCTGCAGAGCACGGATTGGATGTGCAAAAAATAAGATTCTAGCTCTCGCCAGAGAAAGTGGAACGTTTGATCTCAATATCAGCCGAACCAGCTTTGACACAATGCATGCAGAGACATAGGATTTCAAGATCCATCTCCTTATCACCTGATCAAGAAGCAGGCCTGTGAGAATATTTCATAATTTGTTACATCGAGAGCATGAAGTTTCAGTCTAAAGTCAATGGGGGAAGCAAGTCAAGAATCAATACAAGACTCCAGATGACATTTGGATAGGAATTTTGTAACTCTTAGATTTCAAGAGTATGTAATTTTCTTTTCATTTTGATGTAATAGTAGGAACCACGGATCGGAACTCGACGGAACTTCACTCGACTCTCCATCTAAGCATACTCCTCTGACGGCTCCAGTAGGGGGACTATGGTATTTTTTTTTTAGTGTCATTAAATTATATGTAAATATTTCACTTTCTTATATATATATTTGTAAACCTAGAGTTAGTTAATTAATATTTTTTTTCCTAGTGTTTTTATTGAATTTTACTTCTAAAAAAAAGAAAAAAACTAACAATTAAAATTTGAAACACCCGTAATTTTTCCAAAGTTTTGTAGCAAATTTTATCTAAAAAAAAAAAAGAAAGAATATTTCCATCATCCCATTTTCCCCAATCTCTCATTTCCCTAACTCCCTAACTCCCCCCACTTTGCACGTCTCTCACTCACATTGCACATACACTCATATGTTCCATTAGTACACATTCTCACACCCTTCAAAGGAACTAATTTTCTGGCACTATATATAGTTCACACAATTCACACAAAGAAGAGGAGCGACCATTTTTTTCTCCATAAAATCCCAGCCAATGAAAACTAGCCCCAAATTCTTCATTAACACTACTCTAAACCCAGCAAAATAGGCCCTCTTCTCCACCCGCAAACACCCCAATCAGCCCCAGAAAACAAGCCAAAAAACCATATGAATACACCTTAAAACAGTCCTCTTTTCTAAATAACTCAGCAGCATTTTCGAGTTCAAGTTCCGTCGAGGTTGTAGGTGTAGTTTCGTGGTCGAGTTAGCGAGGTCGTATGGTATAGCTACAGTCAACGTTCTGGCTCGTTTTCAAGCTTGTAGACGTTTTTCATTGTAATCCGACGTCGAAGATTCACTATTAGCATGAAAGAAATTTTCTCCATTGAGGTTCATCCTTCTACTCGTTTAAGTTTTTGATTTCTATATATGTGAATATATCGTTTGAATCATGAAACTTGTGAAGTTTATTCATTATGATATTGATTTTTGTCACTTGATTATCTTGCTAGTTTGGCTTGTGGTATTACTGTTGTAGTTTTTAAAAATCTGTTTATCTTTAGTTCTTTATAATTGAAATTTCAAGTTGCATATTATTTGGAACATGAGCAGAAGTTCGAATCTTTCAAATCTTGTTTTGTTGAACAAAGATGAGTTAATAAAGTCTTGGCGATGTGTCGACATTCTTTTGCTTTTAATGTCGCTATCCTTATTCAATTTCTCAAATTTTTAGATGTGCATTTCACTAGAATTACGTATATTGAAAGCACAAATAGTCCTTTGGCTCATTAGCTTAATAACTAGATTATATTATTTCCTCCAAAATGGTATCCATAAATTATAGCCTCACAATAATTTTAAGCTTAGAAATTAAATACTCTAAAATGCTAGAAAAACTTTAGATGTATTTTAAATATTAGCCCATGTGTTCATACCCGAACCTTGGATTGATACGCTTAAGTAATAAAAGGTTCATGTGCGCATTCCCGTGCTTGGATACCTTTAAATTCAAAATAATTATGTTTTAACCATGTGTACATTTTGTACCTTGGTTTAATATCCAACTTCAAAGAAATACCTTGTGTGGGTATCGCATCTGGGTCCAAATAATTAATAAAATACAAATTAAGTGGTAATAGGCGAAAGAAAAAACCCAATAAAATACAAGAATATCCAAAAATGATTTAAGCCTTACAATAGTCAATAAAAGCGACCGTGCTAGAACCACGGGACTCGAGGGGTGCCTTACACCTTCCCCTCGGTCAACAGAATTCCGTACTCAGTCTTCTGTTTTCGTAAATCATAAATTAAGAGTCAAACCTTCCTTTTGAAAGGGGATTCAAATAAAAGGTGAGTTAGAACACTAAAACTGAATTCCAAGTGGCGACTCCAAATAAATAATCCCTTTTCAAAACATCACTTTAATTGGAAAAACTCTTCTAACTCAACCACGTAATAGGGTTGTGTGTGGGAAAAAGAGGTATGACACAAATATCTTACGTACCAAAGGCTTTGTACATTTTGATAGTTATGTGTTGATCACTGACCGCAGTAACCTTAGTGGGATTGAAAGCATTCCAAAAATACCAAATTTGACCATTGTTGTTGAAACAACAATATTGGAATCCAGCAAATTTCCTGTAACCATCAACTTTTTCTTTTGAAACAAAAGGTTCGAAGATAGCCACAAATTGAGTATTGTTAAGATTAATCTGTTTCTTAAGCCTGTGAATGGCTTTTTTTTGGATCAAACCCCCCTAATGTTCCAAAATATGGTACTAATCGTTGAGACAATTAGGGGTGATGTCCTCCTTTTGATTTCTTCTCAAAGAAGGTTGAGTCTTGTGTCTGTTTCTTTTGCCACTTTTCCTGGTTTCACTTCTTCCTCTTTTAGTAGTTTGTTGTTGATCTTCATTATGATTATGTGAGTGTTGATCCTCCTTTCTCATATCCTTCTGATTATTCGATTGCTCAGCCTCTTGAAAACTATCAGAGATATCATCCTCTTGATTAGTGTTGTTGCGATTTTCCTTGTTCTCATATAAGTCTACGACCAATTGAAGACCAGGTTGATTCCTTATTTCAGTAGGGATAGTAGATGAACTGGAGTCACAACACTGTCCTACACTATCTATTCCATCTACTCTGTTTTTTTGAATAGTTTGACGACTGTTCTGAGTTTGTTGCTCCTCCCCTGGATTATGCTCATTCCCTTTTGAGGTGATTTCATTGTTGTTAGTCTCTGCCCCTTGATCTTGTTGAGAAGATTTGTCTTTTGTAACAGGGCTTAGGATACTTTCTTCTATGGCCTGCTTTGTGAATTCATTTTGATTTGTTGTAGAGTCGGTCTTTTCTCTTCTTTTGCTGTTGGTCGGTTTGAATAAAACTTTGCTCTTCTTTTTTGGCATTTTTTTGTCTTTTTTTTTCTTGGTCTTCTTCCTGCTACCTTTCTTGTTTTTGAACTTAGCATCTTCAAATTGTTGATTCTAAATTGTCTCCAAGCTCAGAGACTTTTGATCTTCTTTGTTACTATTGTTTACTTGATTGCTATCTTATAATCCTATGGCTAGTTGAGGATCCTTTTCCTGATTTTTTCCTTCACATTCTTCCTCTTTTTGTTCAACTTTCTTTTTTTAAAGAGCCCTACAATTGACCAAATAATGATCAATTTTCCTGCAATGCTTGCAATATTTTGGTACCCCTTCGTATTCCAGCTTTTGGGTGTAGCCTTTGAGAGGCGAATCTTCATACGTTGTCCAACAAAAACACTTTGAGGCAGTGGTTTAAGCAAATCCACCTCTACACGGATTTTAGCCATACTTGGTCTTGTTCTCCCCATTGTTGCAGCATCTAAAGCTAGAGGAGTACCGACTGAGCTTAGTAATTATTTTATGTAATGCCAATCATGCATATGGAAGGGCAATCCTGGCAGTAGAACCCATGCAGGGGCCATCGGTAGATCCTCCTCTGGTTTGAAGTTCGGAGACCATTTTTGCAACCACATCTGCATTCAGCCAATTTTGATGACTCCCCCATTTTGTGACGACCCGACCCGTCGTCTTATGTATTACAGCCTCGTTTCCCCCATTTACTGCTTCTTCATGTTTCATTATCAGCAACAAGTGAGTTATAGTTGAATTCAATTGGTTTGGATAGGAAATGAGACACTTAGTCTCTTTAAGGAAGGCTTAAGTTGGAAAGGTCAACCGGACGTTGACTTATGAGTTAGAAGGCTCGGATGTGATTTCCGGTGATTCGGTTAGCTTTGGGGGATGATTTTTGACTTGGGAGTGCGATCGGAATTGATTTTGGAGGCCCGGTGTAGAATTAGGCTTGAATTGGCGAGGTTAGTATTTTGGCGAATTCCGATGGATGGGTGAGAATTTGATCCGAGGGTCGGAATGGAATTCCGAGAGTTGCTGTAGCTTCGTTAGGTGATTTTGGATATGTGTGCAAAATTTCAGATCATTCGGAGGTGTTTTGGTCGGGTTTTTGATCGAATGCGTAATTCGGAAGTTTTTAAGAAACTTAGGCTTGAATTCGATGTGATTTGATGGTTTTAGCGTTGTTTGATGTGTTTTGAGGATGATAACAAGTTTGAATGTGGTTTTAGGATGTATTGGTGTTTTTGGTTGAGGTCCCGGGGGCCTCGGGGTGAATTCGGGTGGTTGAACGAGAGTTTTGAAGTTTGCTTCAGGTCTGTTGTTGCTGTCATCTGGTATTTCCGCTTCTGCGGAAATGGACCGCAGAAGCGGTTCCGCAGAAGCGGGTGAGCCATCGCAGAAGCGGCGAGGTGTGGGTTAGGGTGTTTCGCATAAGCGGAAGTTGGTCGCTT